ACGATATCGTAAGGTCCAGCAGCAGTCAGGTCCTTGACAAGTGCCTCGGCTTGTTGGGTGTGGTCGATGATTTGCGAAGCTCCAAGCTTGGACACAAAGTCTTTGTGCTTGGGCGAAAAAGTAGTGACAACTTCAAATCCAGCTTGCGTGAGGTACTGAACAGCCATGCTTCCAATACTGGATGTTCCACCGTAGATGAGAGCCTTCTTACCCTGAGACTTGGGTTGCTCACCAGGTAAAGGTCGGTCCAAGTTGAGGGTATAGTTGAACAGAGAAGGAAGAGTAGGAAGGTTACCAACAAGACGGACGGCAAGATCCATCGTCTCGTCATCTGGTACCTTGGTGGTAGTGACTTCGGGTGAGATAGAGTACTCTTGGTAAGCGCTGTACTTGCTATCTTGAGCTCCAGCGGTCTTCATGCCGACGACCTTGTCACCAACTTGGAAGCCAGTGACTTCAGCGCCGACCTTCTCGACAATGCCTCCAAATGAGCTGCCGAGAATAGTGGGGTATGGAAGGGGAAGCATAGCGACTTTGGCGATTTTGGCGTCGATGGGCTGAAGGGCAATGGTCTGGTTCTTGACAAGGAGTTCATGAGGGCCAGGTTGGGGAGTTTCGATCTCGCGGACCACAAGAGGAGCCTTAGCGGCGGGGACTTGAGCAGCAAGATGAGGCATGATGGAGTATCGATAGTTGCTGTTTAAGATGGGATATAACGGAAGAATTTGAAGGTGAGAGTGCTGATTGTGGTATTTAATGAGTTTGGAGTTTGGGTGGTAGTGTTTTACTGCTGATTGATGATGTTGATAACAAAACTAACATAGCTGGGAGTTCACGCGATTATATGTCTTGTTCATCTCAATCCTATGCCTCCATTCATCGTGAATGCTACGCTTGTCTGACGATTACAAAGTCCCTGGAGATTTTGCAGCATGGGTTCTTTGCTACTGTCTGTCAGCACGGCAGAAGCAATATGCAAATGGGCAACAGAAGAGATGACTCCTAAGGCTAAGACAGCAGAAATAAAGCAGTCAAATTGTGGGGGTAAGCTGGGGGAAGATGGCTAAGTTATTTCGTTTCTCATGGTCTTAGCGGTCAATTTTTCCGACACGCTGACGAAAGGGTAGCTGCTTATGTGACTGCAGACAGGTCGCTAAAAGTAGGTTCAACTTCATTGGCTGCTCGGACTCTTGGCATGTACCGAGCGGGGCACGTCGCTTTCTCCCTCGATTGGTAACGTAAATTAGGAGGTCAGAGTAGCATTTGTCTCCTTCTCCACCTTTGTACCCTGACACGTCAATAGCCGAGACAATAACAATACCCCGAAAACCCATTGAGCCAGACAGACTGTCAGACAATGAGGCAAGAGGACAATGACGATGAGACAAGTCGGGTTCGGTCAGCCGGGGACGTACCGAATTGGGGACCAAGAGAGTCTGAGCTACTGTCCGCTTTTGACCAACTTGTTAATGACGGACTAATACAATATGACTACTCATTCTCAACGGCGGTTCAAGATATTAAGGGAATTCGTGTGAGATATCTTTTATGATTATTCAATGTGTCGAAGCTAATTGTGCACTTAAGTTCGAATTCCGGGTATCTAGAGCTTTGGAGCACAAGCCCGCAAATGCACATTATCCGTTAGGCGCCAACTCTTGTGGTATGTTGGGTATGATTTGGGTCCAAAGTGAAGAGGCTATGCACAAGTGGCTTGAAGAAGGACCTGATAAGGTACTTGCTGCGGGTGGTATTGTAAAGGTGAGAGATGGCCGATCTACTACAAACTGGCACAATCACGGACCCAGTCTAATGCATCGAGAGTATTCAGCTTGATGGCTCCTTGTATAAATGAAGGAGATAACAATCGTGGTGAGATCTGCTATATGTTCGCAGCTAAGGGCAAGTTTGGGCGGGCATTTCCTTGGGCATAGTAACGCTAGATGAGCGTGGAATTAGTCATATCTTCTCGCAGAATCACTACTCCGTGGTCCCTCCTGATGCTTCTCCTTAGGTATTCAAGTTTCACGGGGCTTGGAATGGGCGAGGGACAACAAAACGTGTGTTTCCAACCAGAAACATCCTGGTGACACAGAAAACAAGTGGGCGGGTTATATAAGCCAATACCTTCTGCATGAAGACAAACATGTAAGCAGCCTCATAAACGCCGCAGATTTGCAACTAATAGGAAGATTGAGACAGTCAAAGCTGTGCACATAGAACCAATTGATCAAATGGGCCATGTAGAATTTGATGTCTTTACTAAACTGTCCCTTTGCCCAATGAAGAACTCTCCTACCCCTACATCATCAATTACTCTTGTATTTCGTGATCTCGTTATCACCTGTCACAAGTTTCTTTTCTTTCCTTTTAAAAAAAGAAAGTGTGATCTCGATAGTCCTAGAAATCGTGGCGTTTATGCGGCTGACCAGCTGTTTGTCATTATGCCATGGGTATTGGCTTGGCCGACCAGCCAGCTTATTTTCTGCGTTAGCCGCATCTCGTGATGGGCTCCGCCTCATCTACAACTCACCAGACATTTGGTTGACCTGGTTGTATGACAGAACCATGAAAGGGTGTGAAGCACAGCCGGTTGCAGTGAGGCTGAATGGCTCGAAGGCTTCTCTCACCGCATGTCATCTGATGCAAAGGTAATCTTCTTTATATCCATGGATAACTACCCAAGTTTGGGATTTCATGATTCTGACTCCCTGCCATAACAGAAAAACTGAACCATGGACCATGCCCACGCAACACCATCGCCTTTCCGTACAGAAAAGCCCGTCATAGATATAAAGCAGGGTACTTCAATTCGGGTCGAGACTGAGGAAGTGTTTACATCCCTGCCAAGCACCCCAACTCTCGCAGACAGACCGATGGAGTATGATCGCGTGGCAATTGCTGGATTACCCAAGCAAACCGTAGTCGGCTTCAATTTGTCTACGCACCCAGGATTCAATTCATGTCGACAAGACGTCACTGAAAATCAATCGAACTTCTTGCCAGCCTCGCGAGTAGATATCCTGACTGTTTCAGGGCCTGAGAGTAAACTAGGTATCGTCAACCTACTTCTTGGGTCTATTAGTTATGAGATACTGACGCTCGTGACAGCGTTCCATGACGATCAGAATGACGCACAAGTCGAGGCAATAATGAATGTAGGTATATCACATGAGACTTGTAGCATCGCCCTGACCAGCTAAGAACCTGAAGTCGAGCACCGGCAATCCGGCTATGATGGCAATGTATATTATAACCCCTATGGTTTCGAGGGCTCTTCTGACATATTGGTGATGTAGATGCATCAAGCTTGAAGCGAACCCGGATGCAACCTTTGAGCAGACATCGTGGATCTCAAAGTCGCTCGTGGAGAGACTCTTCAAGTCCTATGACATTCATAGTGGCTTCCTACTCGACCTTATCGGACGTCCTAACTATTGGTCTGCGGTATCCCAGGTGAAGTCTGATGTTAAGTATAAAAAGGACGTATTTGGTAAGTAGGTATGACGAGATGCAAGATCTTGGTTGCTGAGGCCGTTTTACAGAGTTCTTCTGTCAGCATCCGCGATGGCATCCAAAAAGCCGGTACGACAAGCAAAAGAATGCCATGCAAGGGAACAGGGCACCTTGTTCTCTCTACATGACATATTGCACTGCTACTGACACTACAATTTACCTCATTGTTGCTCCGGATGATGGGATTTGGTTTGCCTTTTTAGACACAATACGGCTTGCCGTTCGTGAAGGTAGCGATAGTCTGATTTCAGGGCGTGAGCTGGCATCGAGTCCTTTTTTCATCCACTCTATGATTTCTAATATCGCCTTTGAGCAAGCCGCTGTCTACACTGCTGATGCGCGAGTTAAATTGATGATCCAGGTAATGTTTCAATCCCTAACCATATATTATGGCTACTAATACGGTTCATAGCTGCACAAGGTCAACAACTACTCTGACAGCCTGGATTCCGCGGGGATGGGGAACCGAGATCCTCGCGACTCTGAGACGCGACAGACATTATCTTCGATTACCCGGCAGCTGCATGATGTATCTCAAATGATTGATACGGCGCTTGGAAGCTCAAGTGCAGCCGTGAAGCTCAGCACGAAATTACTCCAGGCGCATGAGGAGTTTTGCCGGCGCACCGGCCGTGGGGCAACTGGCACGGCCGTCAGTCGCACACAGACAGCAATTCAGTATGTACATGATGCATACCTCTGTCAACAGAGCTGGCTCGAGCAGTACAAAGCCAGGAAAGAAACAGCCATGAATCTTGTGAGTTCCTCAAGCTCACCAAAAGAAATGTCTTACAACTATACAGGTATTCAACATGGTTACTCAAGACGACAGCTTTATCACGCTTAACACATCTTACCAGATGTCACAAGACAGCGCCTCTATACATGCCCTCACAGTACTTGCTATGATCTTCCTTCCAGGTACCTTTACAGCTGTATGGTTCACTACTGGATATGACCTGGGATGGTACGCTGACTGTGTTAGACATTGTTCTCTTGTGTTGCCTTCCGAGCCAGTGATTCTGGCTCCATCGAAGTCACTGGGTGGATAGTGCCATTTGCATTGGTAGCTACGACTCTAACAGTTACCGTGCTGACAATATGGTATGCCCGTAGCGGCGTTGGCAGATGTTACCAAAAATTCACTCAACATCTCAAATGTTGTGGAGCAAGGGAAAGAAGAGGTCTAATGAAGGAAGACTCTATCGTATAACGGTTTACAGGGAAACACTCCCAAGCATGCCAGTCGTTTAGGTAATTGAGGTGGTCGAAGGACCCCCGCTAGTAGGCTGCATTCTGGTCACATTTTCACCCGGACAATGGCACAAAAGCCGAACCCCACTGTTGATTTTCACAGACCAATCATCGAGTCTGCTGACATAGACACATTATCGGGGTTTCTTACATTACCGAAGTTCTTCGAACATCGATAATTCGCAAAGGCATGGACATCCGAAATAGTCCATCGCACAAAGTTTTTTAGCAATCATGCCAGAAGATCGGTGTGCTTTGAAATCTTGTATTGTAATTGGCACTTTCAACTAACACAGATGGAATACATAAACACCATGATCGCTTGCTTCAATTTATCCCATTCTCCTCACCAAACACATCAACAATAGCCATCATCATCAAAGGACTCTAACATCAACCTTCTCACCAAACTTCATACTTGCGACCATTCTCCAATAGAACCCACTATATATACTAACGATTTTCAAACATTAACAATGTCTCGTGCACTTCTCATCACTGGTGCCACCGGCAAGCAAGGGAGCGCCGTCATCAACGCCCTTCTTGCCAAGGACACATCCGACTTTGTTCTTCTCGCAGCCACTCGCAACAAGGAATCACCCTCTGCAAAGAAACTCGCCGCCAAGTCTTCCAACATCAAGCTCATCGAAGGTGACCTCGACTCAATCCCAGCTCTCTTCCAGGCCGCCAAGCAAGCTGCTGGATCTGTGCCCATTTGGGGTGTCTACTCTGTTCAACTCTCCATGGGTAAGGGTGTCACTCTAGAAGGCGAGGTGCGACAAGGCAAGGGTCTTATCGAAGAGTCCATCAAGGCCGGCGTTAAGCATTTTGTCTACTCCAGCTTTGATCGCGGTGGTGACGAGAAGTCCTGGTCCGATGCCACAGTCGTTCCTCATTTCAAGACCAAGTTTGAGATTGAGCATCACCTGCGAGACTCCACCGCCAACGGCAAGAGTTCCATGAACTGGACTATCCTACGACCTACCGCCTTTATGGAGAACCTCGAACCAATCTTCGCAACCAAGATCTTCCTTACCATGATCCGCGATACTCTCAAAGACAAGCCTCTTCAGTGGGTCGCTACCGAAGACATAGGCTTTTTCGCTGCCGAGGCCTTCACCAACCCCGAAGGTTGGAGCAAGAAGGCTATCAGCATTACTGGCGACGAGCTTACTTTTGCTCAGCTGAGTGAAGCTTTTGAACACGCCACAGGCGGTCCTGCCGGTACCACATTCGGCATCCTTGGAAAGGCCTTGAAGGTTGGCGTGAAGGAGCTTGGAATCATGGTCAACTGGTTCAGAGATGAGGGCTATGGAGCTGATCTTGCCAATGTGCGAAAGTTGAACCCTGGCACTAAGACTATGGAGGAGTGGGTCAAGACAAGTGCTTTCATGGCTCATTAAGAATGTTCGGTAGTATCCTGATATACATGGGGATCAGTTGATAATCATCAGAGATGGGTGGGTGGATAAAAGTTTTGGATAGACGGTTTCCTTTAGTCTAGTTTAATGTTTGATTTTGTCTTTGTTACGATCTCTCTTAGATGAAGTGACAGAATATATTCAGGATTTATGATGATAAGTCGAATTTGAACTAAACATAGCCAGTTATAATATTACAGCACAGCTATCTAGAAAGTAAAGATGCCGTTCACAGCTTTGACAAGGTTCTGAGCCAGCAACTTATGAATGGCGCCGCTCGCATGGTAATCATCAGCCCAAAGACAGTTACTCGATCCAAAACAAGTAGCATCCTTAGCTCCGTACGCGGCGTAGTTACCAATGACTTTATCAAAAGATGGCTTAGTGTCGAATATTTCGACCTTGACATCTGGATGGGACGAAGTAAAGGCGGCTGCTCTCGACTTGACGGCCTTGTTGTAGGATGTGATATCAGACCTAAGGCGAGCCAGATCGACTTCAGGTTGACCTATCATCTTGGGGAATTGGTCGGCGTAGGCTACATTGTTGGTCAGTAACTCGTAACGCTCTCATTGTCCCAATCTTTTGTAACTCACCGGGAATGCTCAACAACACAAACTTCTTATAACCTTCATCAACGAGCTCTTTCAAAAGCTCAAAGTATCGATCGACGCATTTGGTGACAGGCGCATTAGTCTTACTCCAGAACGACTCGCCTACATCGTTAATGCCAATCCAAAAAGCGACCAAAGTATCCGCGTCGCTTATTTTAGGCGCGACGTATTGTTTGTACAAGGCCACCTGGTCGGACATGGAGTACTGCGCCCATGAATTCACAATCTTCTTGTCAATCGTCGCTCCACTGTAGGCGAAGTCGTATGTCAAGACCTGTGAAGTGTTGAGAGTGGAAGTAACATGGCCAACCCAGTTAATACCACCTGCGGTTGTCTGGCCCGGTAGCTGTGGGTTTCCGATGGGATTCGAGGCTGATGGGAGTTCACTGCCTGGCCAGAAGCCAACCGTTGAATAAGAGTCGCCACTATAAGTGGTTAGTAAAAGGAAGCAAACTCGTCGGTGGACTATGAATCTCACAATACTAGTAAGTTCTTTGCGCCTGCGCTTTTCTTAGATACGGGACTGGCAAGGGCCATGGGGAAGAGCGCTGCCAGAAGCAGGGGCTTGGCAAAGACCTTCATAATTACCAGCAATATTTTTCAAGTAACGCTATAATCGACACCAGCAAACCCATGAAAGCTAATGAATAGATTGTCTTTACCTGTTTATATAAACGGATTTCTCAAAAATCGCTAAGTATGTCCCTCAATTCCGGACATTCATTAACCTGATACCGTATATCCCGGAGCCGATCATCCGATTGGTGGGATATCTAATCGAGACATGCTTTCGGTCGCTGACTGAACGAAACACGGCGGTCAAATTGCAGTTGAACGCGAGATCAGGTTATTATAACGGAGCCTGTCCATACGAACGGCTTCATAACCGCGTATTTATTCTATGGGACCTGCGTATTTCATCTTTATGTTACCGTTCTTGTGATCTAACGCACAACGGAGAAATCACTCTCTCTGCCGACAGTTTACCCCCCGCATTCCTGCGAAACTCTATCACTTAAGCAGATCTTGGACCATCATCCACATCCGTGGAGACCCCGGGTAGAACCCCCAGCACTGGCTTGAGTCTGGTATCATAATTGTTATCTAGCCGAGTTGCCAATCTATAAACCTGCCATGCGAAGTCGCAGGAACAAAAAGAACGACACAAAACTCTCATGATGAAACTTGGCTTCATTCTGAGCGCTAGGGCTGACCATAAAGCACTAATTAGCCCCGTAAGACAAAAGAGCTTACGGATCTATGAGGCATATCACGTAAAGTAGTTTACTGATGCAGAAGGGCGGCAAATAACCATTGTTGGGACTTCAATCTAGCAGTTGGCACCTGGTTCCATTCAATTTATCACAAATGAATCTCCCCATACTGTTAGGATCACCATATTTGTAGAGGATTTGACTTCCCAGAAGAACCATCGTAAGATTTTGAACCGCTGCGCTGGCCACCAATCGAAGCCTGACTGTATCCAGTGCTGTAAGTCTGCTAATTTCTCACCACCCAGATCCCACCTACCGTTTCCAATCGCCAACGTGACTTGAATAAGCCAATCGCCATGCAATGATAGTGATTTATCTCCCAGTACGACGTTACATCCACAGTAAAGGAGTTAGGTGGTGCTGTATACGCCCTGAGCTGACGAGTTAGGGCGCAAGCTGACGAGTTTGGGCGTAAGCTTATCTAAACACCAGGCAGATGTTATGGTACAAAACCATGAAGTTTGCTCCGAATTACAATCTAAAAGAGCTTATTGCTATCAATCAATATTGCCTTGTTAAAATAAACAATGCCAGCCATGGCTTCCACGCGACCGGGACTTATGCAAGTCTCGGTCTCCCGCAGTGCCGAGGAGAAACGATTGATCCCAGCTTACTGCAGCAGTCTTGCCCGCCGTGCCAAAGAACTCGAAACACTTCGCAAGCACATCGAAATTGACGCTAAAGGCGAAGAGTTGTCATTCGGCATTCAGTCTCGCATGTCACCCCACGCAGTAGCTGTACCCGATGCACTACTTTCGCGATTGACACAGCTCCATGTCCTACTCGGCCGTGTCTTTATGGATATCGTGGACCGGTGGTTCGCCGACGAAAAGGCCCGCTTCCCAGAGCGTATGCCATTGGACCCTTCGGAAGATGCTCTGCTTCGATGGATAGCTTCCAGTGGAAGCGTTCCTGCATATCGCGATCACGCTGGGTTTTGGCGTAGCGATATACTGTTCGGGCGAAGCCCTGATGGTGTGTTCGATGAAGCGCCATACATCTGTGAGATCAATGGCAGGCTCCCCTTGAATGGAGTAATGGGTGTTTACTTAACCACCAATGGTCTCAAAGAGATTGGTGCTGCGAAGGGAGGGTTAGAAACACAGGGAAATATTGACGTTAGTAGTTTTGTTGATGCTATTTGTATAATTCACTCTTTAACGCTCGTTTACCATATAGGAAGCTTACGACCGTCTCATATCGCTGTTCGATCCTGAGAAACCAGTATTTACTATACGGGGTAATTGGCCTGGCGCTGACTCAAAACTCCTTTCTGCTGCCAACGTGGCCCGAAACAGATCACCTGTCGACGCAGTGGACCCCAAGAATCTGGAAGTGCGCCCAGACGACGCGTCGCCGACAGGACTTTCGCTCTGGGATAAGACTACTGAGACACACTTGGAACAATGGATTATAGAGATGCTGCAGCCCGAGTATTCCGAATTAGACCCAGCTGTCGCTCAACAACTAGCCCTTTCGCCGGCAAACGACCTGCGCACTGTATTCATTGTTCATGACAAAAGACTTCTTGGGATCATTCCTGAAGAGCTTCCTGGAATTGTCTCGCGTGGAGTGCTGACGGCAGAAGAAGCTGAGATCGTCGCAGCTGGGATTACTCAGACAATCAACCCTGGTTCTGAAGGTGTTCGCGACCTTCTACGCGACTCGAAGGAGAACCCTGACTTGAGAAAAGGTTACATCTACAAGCCTTGCCGCGACGGCATGGGTCATGGCATTGAACTAGGCCGCAACATGACTCAGAAAGCTTGGCTTGAGCGCTTGGAAAAACTCGACAACCCGGATGTTTTGCGCCCTCACGATGATGCAGCTGTCATCCAAAAGCTGGTAGATCATAACTGGTACGACATGGTTCGTCACGAGGTTCCCAGCGACGATGGTGCAAAGCCAAACAAGTTCCATATGATTGGGTCTCTTTTCATGCTTCAGAACCAGAAGTATTATGCCGCGCCTTGGCGTATGGGATTTGAGACCCATCTTGGTATCACGTCGGATAAGCCAGGTCTTGTCATGGCGATGGTTCGTCAGCCGGATTGGCCAGTCAGTTATGAACCAGAGGATGAACCTTGAGTAGCGGGAGCGTTTATGGTAGAGATAGATACGAGTCCAACTCAGGAGACCGTAATAACGAACGACTGCATCAACAGAATTGAGTTATTTACAATCCATTCATCATTCGATTGACTGTGGAAATTCATTCCTGCTGTCTGTTTACAAGGAGACACTAGTAGCTATAGCGCCCTATTCCACTAACAGACCTCTGGGCTAGGGGTCTTTGTCCCCTGTGGAGCAAAAAGTAACCGCTACAGGCAAAAACATACAACAGCGG